ACCGCCTCTCCTTTCCAGCCCTCCTTGATGTCATCCCCCAGCCGGTTCCGGGTAATATAGTCTACCTTGCTGGGCCCGCGTGGTCTGCAGACCAGCATGGTCACTGCTTTAATCTCACTCTCTGGGACGGCAGACTGTTCACCGCACAGGCTCCCGATTATGTTGCCCGGCACGAAATCCTGCTCATCGCCCAACTTCCGCATGACGCTGCAGTTGACGTGTATGTTGGATTAGATGAGGCCCCCCTTGTTGGAGAAATGCCTATCCACTTGTACCCTGGAGCACTCATCTCCTTCCTACCTGCTGCGGCAGAACCGCCGCCTTGGCCGACACTCGGAGAGACGCTTCTTTCCGGTGGGACTCCTTTCAGCCAGGTGTTGAAGACCCCAATGTCTGCTGTGTCGTCCACGGTAACTCTTACCACCTTCATACCATTGATCCCTGCCAACCACTACAGCATCGGACAGGACTTGCACGCGTTGCCGGGGTGCCCACTGAGGCTCTGAACGTGCATATTGCACGACCCCCGCCGAATGATGTCGACCTTTTCGGTTTTAGGTGCCACAATGTCTTCGCTGTTAGCGAGGCCGGTTCTACTGGCACGGGCAGATATGACACCCTCGCTCTCCTTGACTGCCGCCCCATTTTACGCGGTTGGAGAACCATCTGCCTACGGGACAACACAGTGCCTTTCCGACGTCTCTTAGAGCTCCTTGGCAGAAGCCCCCCACGAGACAGGGCTGTGCAGCTCGATGTACGGGTGCAGGATGATGGCACGATACACCTCCACTCAGGACAGGTAGTCATCGTGAGGTTTGTCAGAGGGGCCACGGAGCCTCGCCGAGTCGCGGCACCGGGCACCGGCGAACTCGCCAGCTCTGCTTCGGAACAGGGAACCATTGAAGGCGCTGAAGATCCCACTGATCCCAGGCGTCAGGAAGAAGACCATAATCAGGCGACGATCCAGCCCACTGGGACCGCTTCGTCAGCCGACGGATGCGTTGCCGTGCCCTTCCTTGTTTTTGCGCAAGAGTACTGGCCGGAGCTTGTCCTCCCGAGATTGCCGATTGGCTGCGGCGCAGCTGAGGCATTGGAGACTGTCGGCCAAATGCGCCAGGCTGACGCGCAGAGGCGTAGCCCGCGACTAATTGCTGTCTTCCCTCAGCCCCGCGCACAACAAGCATGTGTAATAGCAGTTCCCCGCTGGACTTATGCAGGTGTTGCCATGCTAATCGACAATCAGGTACATCCGTGTGGTATTTTCGCCAATCTAATACCAGCGAGGTGCACCAGGGATGACATACTTGGTTTGGCAGGGCTTGCCTCCGAAAGGTTAAGCGTCCAGGTATTTATCAAGGACGTCCCTTGGGCCATCCCATCCGGCACAGCCGTCTTTCCGAGCGAAGGGGATCTCTTTACCATCCGTCGGACAGGTGAAGCCCCTCCAGCAGTTGACCTCAGAAACCTCCTGTATTGCACCCGAGAGTGGGATTGTAACCCCTTTCTCCCCGGAGAACGACCTGGAATTGGTCTAATTCTATCGAATGGACAATGCCGCGCTGCGGCCGTACCAGCGGATGTGTTTGCGGTTGACAGCACTGCGGCAGCCGAAGAGATTGGCCTGACATCGGGCAGTTTTACGCTTGTCCCGGCCTCGCCCCCAATCCCAGACCAGGCCAGTCAGGGACAGTCTTTTCACAACGTCTTTCTTGCTTGCGGAGGGTAATGCGCCGTATGTGCTTGACCTGCGACCAATCCTTCTTCTCGTGACATGGGGATATGCTCCCTTTGGAAGGATAGACTTGCGGGAGCTATGTAGTAGGTTGGCAACTAGGTGCCCCCCCGATCACCATGTCCGCATTTACGGGGGTGAGACCGGACGAGATCTTGACAACCACTATCGTTCCGTACAGGCCGGCACAGTCCTCCGCGCCGAATTTCAGCCCAACTACCTCAACGTGATTACCCTGCCAGGGAATGAGCATGCATTCGTATTCACTCCCAGTGCTGGGTACGGAAATCCCGCAGCAAGCCACGCGGAGGGAAGCGCCCCCTCTGAGGGGTCGACGGCCCGAGGTTCAGGCACGGCCGCACCCACTCCTAGGACGCAGTCAGGGGGAGGTCGGCAGACGCGCACAGGCGACACTGACAGTGATCCCATCTCCCTTGCTCGCCCTGGCCTCGGCATACCCGGTGGTACAGAGGAGTTGTTGATGTACAAGTGTCCGGAAGCTGCAAATGTTGACGATGCCTTACCGGAAGGCACAGCCAAGGATACCCCTGTTTTCCAACGCCATCCTCCAGCTACAGAAACGACTGCGGTTTCAGATCATCCGCCCCGCGCAATCAAGCACATCCGGGCATCGACTTCCTTGCCCGGAGCATACTTTGTTCGGGACCTCGGGGTCCTGCCCGTGCTCTTCACTGCCGCTTTCGGCATTGGCTTACTTGAAGTGCTGGGAGAGTACCCTCAAAGTGGTGACCTCTTCCTCCCAATCTTGTTTTGCTGTGCCATCTTTCCTGTCCATTCCCACAGGTTAGGCTGCACGTTCCTTGCCGGGAGTTTGGTTTGCAGTGCACTGATTGCACATGTTTCTGCAGTGCAACTATCCCCTCAGCATATGATCAGCAGCACGCGAGGGGATATCGAACTACCCGTCATATGGACGAAGTTCGGCAACCCCTATACGACGGTCGCACCCCCATTGCTTCATGAATGTGAGATCGAGACTCTGACTACGCTGCTCGAAGAAGCCATCTTGAGCCCCGAGTCGGAGAACTTCTACCTCTCCAGTACCCTCGTAGAGGCCCTCTACGAACATTTCGACGAGTGCCCCACTGACCCCCAGAGGCCTGGACCTTGTGTCTGGATCAGCACCTTGGGGTCAGAACCTTTGATTTGACCGGGGTTACCATGCGTGTTGGATGCACCCTTGACCATGTTGCCCAGCTCATCCACCGCGACCCGGATGATCTATGGCCCCTGCCGCTCAAGGAGTCTGATGTTATCACAGAATGGGTCCGACGTTACCCGCCTCTTGCCGATACGCTGGGAGTCCGCCATTGTGACTCCATCACTATCTATACGGACGGGTCGTATGATGGCGAACTCAGCTCATGGGCCTTCCATGCTATAGGGAGCGTCGCCGGTGAGTGGCATAACATCGGGTGGATCGGTGATCGGGTGCAGACTGATTCCGGCGAGCCAACTTTCCTTGGTGCATCTTCGCATGGAGCCCTCGAAGGGGAACTGTCGGCCTTGTTTTGGTGCCTGATTTGGCTGCTCGCCTCACCACCGGGGGTCGACGTCACCATCTTCTCCGACTGTACCACTGCCATCGGCCTGTCTGAAGGTTCGGTAGGCCAGTTTCGCGGAAAGGATGTTGCCCACCTTTGCCGGGCTGCAATGCAGGCACTACAGGCTGCCAAATCACCCTCCCGAGTCAATGTGAGACACATCAGAGCCCATGTAGGCCACCCAGGCAATGAGGTAGCGGATCGCCTTGCCAAGAAATGCTGCGACCCTCGGACGACCGGAAAGGTCTGGTCTTCGCACCCCATCTGCAGCTTTGTACGAAGAGGGTGGCTACCCTGGCTCTGGTTGTTTTTGGACTCCCAGCGTAGCCCGCAGAATTGGCCTGGGCAGCTTGCCGACTCGTTCATAGATCGGGGCGACAGTGGTGGCGTGCTTCCTACCAGATCAGAGCGTGAGCAAATGCTAGGTCTGCAAGCCCCCTCTGAGAATGATTCTGGCAAACAATGGGCAGTCATCCAGGCTGTCCTAGTAACTGTCAATGTACAGTCATTACACCCTCGGGAGGCTGATCTCGCTGCAGAGCCCCCGGCTGTCCCCTTTCAGGGGCGGGCTGCACTGTTCAGGGAACAATTCGTTGAACTTGGAGTTGGAGTAGCAGCCCTCCAGGAAACACGGGCCCCACGCAATGAGACCATCCAGTCAAAGACACACATACGGTTCTGTAGTGCACGCGACGCTCAGGGCTCGTATGGGGTTGAACTCTGGTTCTCGCGAACCGAACCCTTCATAAGACACAACAAGACTGATGTCCTTTTTCAGCTTGGCGATTTTGTTGCGGTCCATTGGGACCCACGCGTACTTGCTGTGCGCTTTGCACGCGCTAGCGTGGGGGTTCTGTTTGTTGTGATTCATGCCCCTACCAATGCTTCGCCTGAACGCAACAAGTGGTGGCAAGATTTCCGTGTCTTGCTTGGTCGCCTCAGACAGGACGCGCAGCTTGTCTTGCTCGGGGACTTCAATCTCCATTTGCATAGATCTTGTGCGGACAGAGTTGGAGACCTGACCTGGCCTACAACTTCACCACCCCCCCAGGCGTTTTGGAGCATTCTAGAGGACGCACTTCAGTGGATCCCTAGCACGTTCTTCTGTTGCCACCCCGGTCCCACCGAGACTTGGCAGTCGCCAGGGGGTACAACCACATCGAGGTTGGACTACATCTCACTGCCTGATACATGGCACGTCGCTGCTGGCGGCAGCAGAGTACTACATGAGTTAGAATGGGGACAGGCAAGAGTTGACCATTATGCCCTTATCACACGGGCTGTGTCCCATATTCTTTTTCATGCACCAAAACATGGCCGAAGAGTGCGCATCGACACTACTGCCATCGGCACCCCGGAAGGTCGTGAGAAGTTGCAACATATTTGCTCATCACTCCCACAGCAGCCCTGGCAGCTGGACATCCATCGTCATGCTGCAAAGGTGGAACAGCATTTCCGATGCCTGCTGCCGGTAGCCTTTCCGGCACAACGTGCCATGCAACACAAGCCTTACCTACAGCCAGCCACTTGGCAACTGCGTAACCAACGAGCCTGGCTTAGGAAGCGGATTCAATCGGCCTCCAGATTTGGTCGCAGCTTTTCCCTCGCGTGCTCATGGCGCGCATGGCGGGGGGCAGGCACCATTTGGGCACCATGTTCCCGGTTTTGGAACAGATGGCTGCGATGTTTGCGGGACTTGCCAGGTCACCTCGCCGCTCTGCGTTCCACTAGTGCACAGCTCCGATGCCTAATCCGGCAGGATACAAAGGACTACTTACACGAGGTTGCGGTGAAGGCCACTACAGACTCCACGCGCGACACTGTCCAGCGTCTTCGAGTTCTCACGGGTGGACCCAAACGCAAGCAGAAAGGCACCACCCCGCTGCCTGCTATTGAGACCGAGCAGGGAATCCTGGCTACCACGCATCAGGAGGCCAAACAAAAGTGGATATCCCACTTCTCCGCCATAGAGGACGGGCAGGTTAAGGATCCAGTTGAGTTCGTCCACGACTGCTACCGCAGACAGCAGGCCAAGGATCTGTCGGATTACACGGTCGCCCCGGCAGACATCCCTAGCCTAGGCGAGCTTGAGGCTGCACTAAGGGCATCTAGCACGGACCGAGCCTACGGGCTCGACGGGATCCCGGGTGAGGTCCTCCACTATGGGGCCCCCTATCTTGCGAAAGCTGTTTATCAGCTGCTCCTTAAGTCTGCCTTCCGCTTGTGTGAGCCCGTCCAACACAAGGGCGGAACCCTTTACTTCATATGGAAACACAAGGGGCCAAAACAATGCTGTAGCTCCTACAGGGGCATACTGGTGTCTTCAGTGCTTGGGAAGTCCTTGCACAAGACGCTCCGCAACCGCTGCACAACACCTCTTGCCAACAGCACCGTTCCCCTGCAAGTCGGTGGGCTCCCCCAATACCCAGTCACGATCCCGGCGCACGCAGCTCGCCTGTTTCAGTCTGGCTGTCAGGCCAGAAAGTGCTCTCATGCGCTCCTTTTCCTCGACCTACAGGAGGCATTCTACCGCATCATACGACCGCTTGTCACCGGCGATCACCCCACCGACACTGAGGTCGCACGCATTTGCGCAGCAGTTCAGCTCCCTAGCAATACTGTGCACGAACTGCGCGACTTCATCGGCGGGCCTTCCCTGCTTCGCGAGGCCGGATCGAGTGAGTGGGCGGAGGGAGCCATCTCCGAGTCCCTCCACGACACGTGGTTCCGGCTCCCGGATGAGCCGGAAGTCATTGTTACCCGTACCGGGTCCCGCCCCGGGGACTCACTCTCGGACCTTGTTTTCTCCTTTCTTTTTGCCAAGGTGCTGCAACAGGTTCGACAGGCCCTAATACAAGCTGAGCTCCTCGCGTACATACCCTGGAACCAGAGCATGCAATGTAGCATCCAGGTTGAGAGCACACACCCAGAGCGAACAATCGGGTTGTCCGACGCAACCTGGATGGATGATCTTTCGATGTTCCTCATGAGCCCTGACGCTCCCTCGCTCATTGCTGCTCTCAACTTTGGAGCATCCTCGCTCATTGATGCCTGCCTCCAGAGGGCACTTGTGCCGAACCTTTCCAGAGGGAAGACGGAAGCCATTGTCCAACTTCACTCCAAGGGGGCCAAGGCGACGCGCAGGCGTATCTTTGGCGATGAGGAGGGTACCATTCCTCTGTCGTGCCGCCTGTGGAAAGAGGCCAAGCTGCGGATAGTACCAGTCTATCGTCACTTAGGCGGGTTCCTGCAGCACAACGGAGGCCTACGACATGAAATCGCATATAGGTGCTCACAAGCATGGGAGGCCTTTAACAGGCGCAGGCGCAAGGTCTTCCAGTCACCCCTTGTGTCGGCCACCGACAAAGCCGCTCTGTTTGACAGTTTGATCTCCACTGTCATGTTCCACGGGTCTGGTACCTGGACGCGGGTCGCACAAGCACACATCGATACCCTCGATGCAGTTCTTCGACAGATGGCCTGCCAAATGCTGACCCCTAAATACTCCTGTGAGGAAGCATGGCACCTCGGCTTGTCGCATGCGATCGCTCTTGCGGGCATTCCGCGAGCTGCCACGTACCTCCACGCCTTTCGACTGCGATACCTGCTCTCTTGCATTCGCCTTGATGTGCCGGAAATTTGGGCTCTTGCCCACTGGGAACAGGACTGGCTGAGACTAGTCCGGACCTCTGTCGAATGGCTGTGGGAGCACACTAGGATGGTCGATGACAAGAGATCATGGACCCTCCTATGGGACGCATGGGTGCTGGAGTGCCGCTCGTCCCCTCGAAAGTGGAAATCCAGAGTCCGCCGAGCCATCGCTCACGCCCTGTTTGTCGAACGAGGGCAGGCGGAGTACGATCGACACCTTGGGCTACTATCAAACAGCTCCGATCCCTTCATGCTCAGGTCCCGATTGCCCACGGCGCGGCCAGCAACGGTGTTGAGTTCTGTGCGCCCTGCCAGATCATCTTCCAGGATCTGCGTTCATGGTCGGTACATGCCTTCAAAAGCCATGGTCGTACCGATGAGGTCCGATCATTGGTCTCTGGCACGCAATGCCCACATTGTCTCAGACACTATGCGACCAACATCCGGCTATGCAGACACGTGAAGCACTCCCGTGCCTGCCGGCAAGCCCTCCTAAGTCAGGCACATCGGGCATCCCCACAACCTGGTGTCGGTAGCCGTGGGGCTCCGAAGGAGCACTTGTTTTGTGCGCCCACTTTGCAAGCTGCGGGCCCTACCCAGCCCGCTCTTGAGTGCTCCATAGCTGATGAGATGGAACGCCCGTCTGCTGAGGTATTGGATTGTTTGTTCCACCTTGATTTTGATGGTCAGGCCTCCACAGTTGGCGATGCTGAGTTCTGGGAGCGCCTTCGACTCTCCTTCTCGTCTGTCTGCCTCCCCAGAGCCAGAATTCGGCTTACTCTTACGGCCTGGGAGGATGGAATTCGACAGGGTAACTACACCTATACCAACGCTGTTCGCGATCGAATCGACTCAGCTGTTGAATGGTTACGTTCTGCCGACCTTGTCGATTGGCTGATTTGGGAGCCGAGGGCACAGAAGACCAAAGGGGATGTTTTCCGCCAGAGTTCTGCGTCGCTTTCCTCTCTTGTCCTGCACACTGTCCATCTCCCCGCGCCGGCTCAGTGGACTCAAGACCATGCGCTGATAGTAGTCGGCGATGCTGCTGACTCCCCAGCCGCTCAAGGCCTCCTCAAGTCTTCATTGAACTTCCCACACAGTGAGTCTCTGCTGAGACTTGAACAGGGTCTGGACTTGGACTTTCTGACGACACAGGATGCAGAATGTGGGTTCTGCCTTAGCACTATTGGGCTACGTCAGGCTTCGGACATTGCACGGTGTCCGGCATCTAGCAGAGTCCGAGACTCCTTGTCCTTGCGCCTAGCGTTGGAGATCGCGCGGCTTGCATTACGGCTTTGGTCTACGGGGATTCGGGCTTGCCTCACCGTGCCACGTGCCTGTGGACTTGATGTAGACATTTTGTCTAGGCTCGCAGACATCCGGACTGCTGAGCGTGGTGGGTGCGTCACCCTGTGAGCCTGTGGGTAGGACGGGACGACGACCTGACCACTTTGTTTCACTTCTTTAATTAGGTGACATGCTCAAAAGGGGCTGCGTCAAACTCGACCCTACGCCCGAAACAGTGGAAACAGTGGATGTATGTATGTATGTATGTATGTATGTATGTATGTATGCATGGATGTATGTATGTATGTATGTATGTATGTATGCATACATACATACATACATACATACATACATACATACACGCGCAAGACCTCTGGGCAATCTTGGGATCTTGGATCCGGGCCAGGGCTAAATCAAAATGATTCGGATGATTCGGGTGG